TATACCTAAGATGGGTGATCCACCATCATTTGCTGGAGGTTCCCAAGTCATAACACACCAGTCTTCACCCACCTCAGTCACATTTGGTGCCTGAGGAGGATCAGGAACATCTGTTATAAACAAAGTAAATGTTATTAGAAAAGACCAACAATAACTTAGGGTTTTTTGCATAGGTCAAAATAAAAAATCTGAATAGTTTTTGAGCTGCTTCTGTGTCCTTCAGTGAGACTGGGCCTTAATATTCTTGCACCTCAATTCCATATCTGAAAATGGAGACAAAGAGGGAAATGGAATTTTTCTGTGAATTTACAATATTTTGGTAGTTAGGGAGGACAGCATCTACAGAAGAGACCCTGAGCAGAAAAGTAGGGTTCTTCAAGGAGTGTTCATTGAAAAGGGCTGTGACATGACTCATGTGCAGTGTTCCACATGACTTACCAACCACTTTAATGTTGATTAAAGCTGTGTCCTCTCCAGCCTCATTTTTTAATGTTATTCTGAAAGGACCCGAATCTTCCCTCTCAGCTGCATCAATGACCAGACAGCTGCTGTCTGAGTATGTTTCTGTCCGTATTCTTCCACTGTCTGTGATCCACTGGGAATAAAAGTGAATGGAGGGAAAAGTAATATTTTCTGGATTTCAGAATCAAAATGCTCAAAAATCAAAATCCGAATGCAGTACAGGATGCTTCAGTAAAAATACTAAAGCAATTGTAAGACAAAATACACTAAAGCTCAGAATTTCAGTCACCTAATGATCAGAAAAATGACAAAATAACTGAGGGACAAATGTGTAATAATAACTTTAAAATACAATAACTGATTAATGCTGAGCTCTGACATTGCATCTCAAAGGAAGAGGCACTAGGCTTACTTGTTCTGTGAGCAAGAATGTGCTTTTAATAGCACTACCTGCTATTAATTTGATGGAAAGATCGTAGTGGTTTTTCCCAGAAGTCAGTCTGAAAAGTAATTTGCTCAGTTTAAAGATCAGAGTGACTATATTGGCCAGTAGCTGTTCCTCACAGATTTCAAATGCTGGCAGATATTTTGGAGTAAAAGCTCTCCTAGAATAATTGCCTATTTGGACAAATCTACAGTGGTGATACTACAATTAATATTTGAAAAATAGCAGTTGGGGATTTGACCAGATACATCTGATGAATCCAGTAATAATAACATGTTTCAGCTTCCACATACCACAATGAAAATTTAAATGTGAAGATTGGCTTTTTGGTATTACACAGCCAGGGACTGATACGTGCAAAATTTTGTACTAAAATGCCAGATGCAAAACACCAGTTGCCCAGCCTATTGTTTCATTTAAGACTTGACATTCCATCAGAATTTATAATTAATTTTCCAAAACCAGATGGTATTATATCTACCTGTCAAAATCTAGCAACCATTGTGGGAATTATGTACAGAAGAAGTAGCCGTTTCATAGATTTTCATTTATTTTCTTCTGCATCTCATATGTCCCTCTCCTTTACAAGTTATAGCAAAACAATTTTTTTAATTAATTTCAGCCTTTCCTCAAAAAGACCCAAAAGATGCTAAATAATATTAATCCCTTTTACACTTCCTTTTGGAGGAAGAAGAGTTTTTTAGATAAAATGCATTTCCTCGTTCTCTGCCGTTAAAGTCAATGTCTTCATAAGGCTTATTTTTTTGAAGGAAAAGGCCCTCTGTTAAGCTAAAGAAATTATTATAATGAAAAATGTACCTTGTCCCCTTTACTCCACATGACTTTTGGAGTTGGCTCGCCAGTGATAGGGATCTCAAGTCGTAGTTTGCTTCCTGCCACTACTGTTACAGTATTATTTTCCCCAAGACCATCCAAGTGGAGTTTAGGAGGATCTGAAAAATGAGAGATTATCCAAATTTGCTATGTGGCCGGCACTCTGTGACATACTCACTCAGTGACCTGGCACAGGTCTGCAACATAGAGAAACATGCTCTATATTTTGTATTTCCCTGGTATTTTTACACAACTGATTTTTTTGGTTGGAAGAAAAGTTCTGAAAACAATTTCTTTTCCTAAGAAAATAATTGTCTGATGAAAAAATGTCGCTGTGGAAATTTTGCAATAGTAAGACAACATCTTCCTGAGGCAAAATTTTGTATATTCAGGTAACTTTTGAGACAGATTTCCTCTAAGTGACTCTTGAAAATTTCCTCTGCAATCCTCTACAACACCTTTTACCATGTATCAGACATCGCTGTTCTTACAGTTTAAAAGTGTTCTTCACTCAAATCCTTGTTCTTAAAATGGAATGGTCACTTTTATTGCACCCCCCCATGTGGAGAACAACTGACTAGTATAATCTTACAGCTTTTTTTAATGTATTGGAAGCTAAATTGGTGGGCATAACCCCCTGGTACCCCGTCCCTCTTAATTCTCCCTAAACCTTGACAGTACTTTTTCTAATGCAGATACACCACTTCATTCAGCTTCAGTTACAGAACATATTTTTCTAAAACTTGAGTCATTTATATTGTTTTCCTTTTGACTTCCAAGTTGCTGGTTGCAGTTAAAAGTCAGTGAGGATTGTTGTTGGAAGACTCAATGCCTTGTTTTAAAGACTAAGATCATGAACAATTTAGTCCGAGTGAATAAAAGCTGGCTAGAAACATTTTGCTCTCTAGATGTCATTTAACTTTTATTTAGGGAATGGGTAAATGTGTACCTGTTCTACTAATCTTTTGCCAATATAAATCACATTTTGCAGTGTCAGCAAGCCAATTCCTCTAAAGAAGACACCACTACGTCTGAAAAGAGGATAGCAGTAAGTATTTGACACAAACTCTTAATAGTGGTTTAGGAATTCAACACTGAGAAGCCTTTCCCAGGAGCTCTCCAAGTCTTGTAAACTATGAGCAGATCCCTAGCACAGGCTCTCTGACTAGCTCACTTAGTCTTTCCCAAAGCAACAGTTTTGTTCTCTATGGTAGATGCCTGCTCAGAGGATATTTCACAGTGCCTTTTATTTCCAAAGGTCAGAGAAAGAGATGTTATACAGAAGTCATTGTGCCATACACTTACCCACAACATGCACTTTGCATGGAATATTAATATTATAGGCATCTGGTACAAACATGTATTCACCCTCATCATCAACAGCAGCACTTGCTATAACAAATCTATGGATTCTGTAAAAAAAAGAAAAATAAATCAATGTAAATTATTTTTGAAGATTGCTTGTGACTGTAAGGAAAAACCTGTGAAAAGTTCAGGAGATCTGTGCAAGTGTGTAAAATTACTCACTAAAACCCCTTTACTGGCTGCTTATTGTTATTTTAGCTGACAGAGGTTAGGCTTGTTTACCAAATAATTTTCAGTGAACTAACCCACATATTGGCTTATCTCTACAGTGTCATTCCTTCAAAAGACAAGTCAATACAGAACAGGCTTACCTTCCTTTGTGATAGAGCTTTACACGGTCACTAGCTTCGACCAGTTGCCCATTTTTGTACCACTTCCCTTCCACGTTCTCAGATATCTCACACTTTAGGTGGATTTCTTGTCCAAGCCTCACAGTCTGGTCTTCAAGCGCAAGTGATATCTTCAGTGGTCTCACTTAGGAAAACAGAAGCAGAGACATTAATGCTAATATCAGACAACAACTCACGATCACAGAGCTGCTATTAGCTATCACAATAGTCTTCAAATCAGAAAAATACTTTCACTAATAAAGTTCTCAAGTTGAAATACCAGTAATATGTAAACATGTAAGCTACATAAATTAACCTCTTTTCATGTAGCCTGATGCCTTAGATAGGGCGGTCCAAAATACCCATGCCCTGACTGGGGAAACTCCATGGATACTGCCAGCAGAAGAACTAAACCCCAGTGCTGTCCGTTCTCTGCTGTTTAGGTGCTGGTGGTAGGGTGCTTCTATTCCCTAGACTTCACTAAGAAATCTTCAAGAAGTTGAAGGCCTGTGTCCCCAGACCTCTGCACTAGAAGGGATTACAACACACCTTTCCTGTGTTCTCCAGTGATCTAACTGCTCTCCCAGCTGTTCTGAGGTAATCTGGAGACTTGCCAAAAGTATTTCATCACACATGGGGACCGTAGTTCTCAACTTGCTTTGTCAGGCTGGTGAAGGCCAGCTGGCCATCAAGCTTATCTTCATACACTACTTCTCATGTTTGCTCAACTGCCCTAACTCACCCTATGAATACCCACAGATATTACCAGCTTTTATAAAACTCAGGTCTGAGAACTGTGTCCCAGTTCACTTCCACTTTCTGGAAGATCAGATGCTGTAGACCAGAGTCCAGGCTGAACATGCAGTACCATCTGCATGCAGTAAATGTCCTCACTATAATCTGATGAAGGAAACAAAGAGTGATGGGAAATGCAGTGTCTTCCAGAAAGCCAGTGGGAAAATCCTCAGAAGAATTTGCAAGAAAGGCAAAATGATGGAGCTCAATAACCATAGAGGATATTTTCCAGCTTGATAGTAGAACAACATGAGTTGGTTGTGCTTAGGATGCCAATGTGTACAAAAGAGTCAAAAGAAGTATGAATATTGCAAATGCATGCTTATGCAAATATGTGATAACTTCAGAGGATGGACACATAGATTTCGCTTAAAAACACATTGTGTTTTAAAGAGATGTTGCACAAACAATACTGATGGAGATACATAGTCATATGTTTGTGCCTATTAGTTCAGGCCAAGTGATCCTGATATCTATTAACTCTGTGTCTAGTTATGGATCTGCTAATTTTTTCCCAACATACTTAATTTTTCTAATGTTGGGTGAAAAGCTTTGGTTTGACTTTCCTGTGAAAACCTGGAGGGGTTAAAGAAAGACATTCACTTTAACTTTGAATGGCTAACTTTGTTTTCCATCTTAACGGAGTGACAGAAAGTTTTGAAGCAGGACTAGCTCATTGCCTTTTTCTGCAAACAGCACCTAAAATATAGCCACTTTCTCGGATCAAAGAAATTGGTATGGAAGTTAAGCTTCTCTTTAAACCTCCAGGAAAAGGCAAGCAAATATTTCTGTAGTATCATAAATGATGACATATAAATTCAAGAGCAAGATACTTACAGTCAACCGAAAGCTTTGCTTCTGATTGGCCTCCAGTTGTCATTACTGAGTAAGTGGCGTTGTCATTTTTTGCAGCTTCCTCTATGATCAAAGTGTGTTTTTTACCCTCAACTTTGATTCGATACCGAGATTTAGGATCATTGGGAAGTTCTACACCATTTCTAAACCTAACGGAGAACAAAGAATGATTATTTTTCCAATAGAAGCCTCGTGCATGTAAGACTCCCATAGACTGAGACTTCCAGAGAAGACTTTATGAGACTTAAGGCACAAGCAAATGTTAAACAACTTCATCCATGAACGTGTAAGGATATTTATGCTGTTGCTACATTCTTGAATAATGTTTTCTTGAGATTTTCTTAACTATTTTCAGGTTTACTGGTCTAGAAAAAGCTGTTGAAATGTTTGCCTACAAATCAAGATATTCAAGGGAAACAGTATCTGTTCAAAGTGTGGCTTACCATTTCACATTTGCGTCATCCTCAGAGACCTCACAGCTCAGTTCTACTCGTTCACCAACATAGGTACTGGTATCCTCCAGGCCTTTAGTCACCAAAATTGGAGGATCTTTGAAAAGAAAAAATTGCAAATTTGCAATCTGAGAGAGAAAACTAAGGGCAAGGTTTTTTCAAAATCATGCTGTACAAGATGACATTACTTTAAAATTCCAATATCAGTCGTAGTATAGCTTTTTCTGCTTTAAGTCAGAAAAGCAATTGCCCATTAAGATGCTGGTAGAAAATGTGCCAAATAAAAAATCAAACCAAACCAAACAAACCAAAACGTTTTTTTTCAAATTAATTCCAGCCTTCCTTCCTGTTTTAATGACAGTTTGTCCAGGCAGGTTGACATGAGAAGCTGACGTTTTCATCTTGCCTGCCACAGATCCCTCTCATAAAGCTGTGTTTTCATTAAATACTGTAGCCTATTGTGCATAAAATGCCCGTAAAATGACCTGATGACATAACACAGTGCCCTCATTGGTTTAACCTATTCCTTGAGTCAAAACTCAATTTAATTAATAGCGAGAGATTCTGCAATGGTTATTCTAGGAAATTTATAGGGGCAATGGGCTCCAGTATTTTAAACAGAATTTTAAACACAGTTCTGAAGTATTTAATGATTTTTTTTCTCACTGTAAATTTGGCTTTCCTGTTTGGTTTGTTGTGCATGTGTGAGTAGTGTCATGTTTATTATCAGTAGGACTGTCAACACTGTGGGAGCATAAAAAGGTGAAGAAATGGCCAGTCATTCATAGCTTTTGATATTCTTCCCTTAAATCTGTGCAGGTGGAATGAAAACTAACTGCTGGAAAGCCTGATCTGAGGGCACTTGAAACAGAGCAGTTGGACCAAGAGTATCAGGGTCGACAGATACCCAAGCCTGGTGTTCGGGAAAGCCAATGCTATGGCTTTAAAACTGTGAAGGGGACCACAGCCGCACTAGATCCCAGTGCACATTATGAAATCAACCACAACCCGTTTCTGTACTTCCACTAAATTACTAAATGCAGAATGAGGGAAAAAATGCTCAGGGACCACGGAAATGTAGAGCAATCCTAAGGGCTGCTAATGTAAATACAAAAATATACTGAGCCAGATCCTCTCCATTAATTTCTGTTGCTGCCAAAGGAGCCACATCAATGTAGAGCAGGAGCAAGCTGACGTGGTTACCTCTCACAAACAGTTCAGTGGAGCATTTCTCATCACCAGCTGTTACGTAATAGCGAGCATCGTCTGCCATCCCACAATTATTGATGAATAAAATGCGCTGGTTTCCTTTGTGCTCAAAAATGTATCTGTTTGAAAAGGAATGCAAGGAAGACACATTAACAGAACTGCTGGACCTCTTTTGTTTTATGTAGAAAGTGCTTTAGGGATTATTAGTGGTGAAAATCTTTTTTACATAGAACTGGAAAAAAATAAATTGTCCTGGGAAGAAATTTCCAAGATTCAACAGGACTATCAAAGTCTTTTTAGCAAAAAGCTGTGGAATAGAGTGACAATGAGCATCTTTTGTCTTGTTCCAAAATCCCAGGCTTAGGTGATATGTAAAAAAAGGAGCAGGCTCTTGAAGGATGGCAAGTAAAATAGAGTTTGAAACTCTAGACGAGTAAAGATGAAAATAACCAGTAACAGGACACCATCCTCATTCCAACACTCTTAACATTTTTGTGAAGTATAATAATAGCTTAAGTTAAGAAGTTAATATTATTGGTAGGCCAGATGGCACAAGAGATCAGTAATGGGATATGTGGTTTTGGTAATGGGATATGGAGCCTTTCACCTTTATGTCACCAGTTTAGATCGGCTCCAGGTTTGTAATGACCAAAGCTCATTAGCATCTGACAGCTGCTTCAGCAGCCTGGAAGAAATGCACTGGGGCATTCAGTCCAGGTCCTTCTACTGGGGAGTTATACATATAGCTGCCTTCCAAACAGTTCTGAGCTGCTCATGACAGATATAGGAGCTAAATAAAAGGTTCCCTTCTTATGCTTTTTTTTTTTTTGTAATCTATAAATATAAATCAAAATCCTTCTTTGACTTTTGCACCAACAGAATTAAGAAAATCTGCCCCTTCTCTGTAAGAGGGCTTTTGTTAATCACTTTTTTCCCCCACAGGGCCAGAGGAAAAAAATGCTAGGATTTTGTGCTACTGAGAAATAAATGATGAACATTATTTTGTTGTGCATTACTGGTTGCCTGTCGTCATTCCTAGCTATGTGTGACCGTGGAATGAGATTTCCTACACGGGATTATAAGAGCAGGTTGTGCCCACACTGAGTACTGGGCTCAACTTCCAGCCATTGCTCCACCCGTAATCAAATGGCTGCATCTGAAAAGCCACTTCTAGATAAAGACAGTGAGTAAACCAGTATGCAGGCGATGGTGTAGAAGCTTGTCTACACTAGACCAACAGGTGTGACTGAAGTCACTTTGAGCTAATGCACGTTGCTGACTTCAGTGTCAACTGGATAGTGGAGGCAAAATAAACTTTGTTCCTCTCTCCTCAGGTGGTTTAGGAGTCAAGTAAGTAAGAATGTGATGTTAAACAGCATGTGAGCAAATATTTTTAAAAAAATACTGAGTAGGAGCTGGCTCCACATTTTGTTGTGGATCTTTAATTCTTTTCTCTTAGGGCAAAGGAAACAATCTCCATTAACATTTAGCATACAGTGGACTTTCTAAGGCATGAGCAATATAGCATCATTTCCATACTTCTCGTGTATAATGAAATTCAGAAATAAAATTGGTGCAACCTGAGCAGAGAGATAGATCTAAAAAACTTGTCAAGGAAGCACATGTGTACTCATTTTATAGCTTACATACAATAAAATAACTTACTTTGCACTTGGTCGTATTTCTTGGCCATTTTTATACCACTTGAGTTCCACTGTTGGATCTGCAAGCTCCACCATGAACCTTACTTTACCTCCTTTGTCCACCTGATATGCAGGATCAAGACCTTTGGCAAAAGCTGTTGTGGAAGCCAAGAGTGGTTATAAACCAAAGTGAGAAGATAAGAATATGAATATTGAAATGACAGTGCATAAATCCCATCAAAGCTGTCAGAATATGTGCATACAGTGTATGTGTCAGTCTGTATTCTTAGGCTAGTCCACAAGAACTGATTTATTTTCTAGAAACATTAGAGTCAGTGCGAAGCTATGCAGATCTGATTATTCTAACCGAGTTCAAGCTAGTATCTCTTCATGACTTTGCGGTGTGACTGTATTCTGAATACAGCAGAGGTAGTTTTGACAGCTCCTTGAGAAGTCTTATGACAGAATATGATGGTAAACAGCTGGTGCCATGGAATCACTTAGAATGAATCTGTTACAAAGGGCTTCTTTACTAGCACTGGCGTATGAGTTAACGGGGAATTTTAAGCTAAAATTCCTATTGAGCTTCACACTATCAGAATAAACACATTTGTTTGTCTAAAAGCCAACTTAGCCTTCCTGATTCTTTCTGTAGGTTTCAGGGTGGACATTGCAGTTACAGTTGTGATAAATGTTACAGCTGCAAAACATTTGCAAAAGTATTTGAAACCAGGCAGAAGTTGCCAGTCTGTGAATTTTAATGGGGCACTTCAGAAAGGTTCTTTGGGATGTACAGATGTAGTCCAAGTTGTTCTAGGCAAGGTAAGGCCAGGTGAAACTCAAGCCATTTCAAAGTACTCCAACATCAACATTTAGATATTGCCTGCCATGAAAGTTTGTCTCAGGGAAGCAGGTATCTATGCATCAAAACTAAATAAATAAATGGTGCCTCAGACAAATTGCCCACAGCTAAGTCAATCAATTCCTGCTAAGATTTATCTCATGCATATGTCTGATTGCAGGAGATGCAACAGGAGTAGAGTTATTATATCTGAAAATGATTTTTTAATGTATCTTGTTTCAGTGTAAAAATTTCCAAATCACAATAAAGGTGGTGTGAGCGGAAGAACATCCTGTCACTACTATAGACATTTTTTTCTGATATCCA